TCATGAGGTCTGCTGAGGTCGAACACTCAGCTTGGTGTTTTGAAGCAGACATGAGAATGACTGAGGGTCTCTGCACACTTGCTGGATACAGACTCATCACATCACTGATTTCCATCTTGGTTTATCCTTATTCTTCCACGCTCTGGACTGCAGGTTTCTCATGAGCAGGTTCCTGGTTCAAACCCCGCCTGGAGTTTGCACGTTCACCCAGAGGAGAGATGCAGGTAAAGTGTACAGACCGAAGCATTTGCTTGAATCTATGGTTAAATATGTAGTGTGAAGCACTTTGTATATATTTGTTTTATTCCTTTAAAACACACATTTCTGGTTTAATCCTAAACTCAGCTCTCACCTGAACCCAAAACTCACTTTGTAAACTGTGCTGTGATTGCAGCCATTCCCCAGCTCTCTGTGAATGGTTCTCATGGCCATTGATCAGTGGTTGTTGATCAATGGTCATGAGAAGGAACTGAGGAACTGACCTCCCAGCCCATTGTTCCCTCACTGGGCTGGTTTCAGTCATTATGCAAATGTCCTGTTTATAAGAAAACCTGCAGTTGGATGATGACGAAACGTTTCTACGTCCAGATGAACAGAATCAACTTTGAGATTTACTTTGTAAACATATCTTTAAATAATCATAATGGTGAAATGTTGTCATTTTATGTCTTTATTTATAAGAACAGAGTAAAACCCTAAAATAACTTCCTTCTATTTCAAAGAACTTGATTTAAATCTCACCAGAACAAATAAAATCTGTCGATCGACTCGTAGACGGAAGCCTGCACGTCTTTAATTCATATCAGACGTTTCCCAGCGCGTCCTCGTCCTCCTGCTTCCTCTGGTTAAATCATTTTATCAGAATAAGAAACTTGATTTTCGTAATATCGGATGCTGATTCATTTACAAAATAAACGATGAAAATCGTGATTTGGAGCATCAACAACCTCGAATGAATAAATAGACTCAATTATTTGTCAGTACTCGATAAGTTTATTAAGGGACAATCAAAACGTCTTGCATGAAAAAGTAGGACCAAAGATAACCAATCGTTTATCTTCTCAAGCTCACAGTCAAACTAAAGGTTTCCTACTTTAGCCTCATGAAGTTAAATAGAAACAAAACGATGAAAGCAAAGCGCAGGTTTCCCTCGTCATCAGGTGCACATTGAACGTACGATTTTATTTTACAGCCAAGATCCAACAAACCGGTTTACATAGAAAAAGATGATTAATATTCAGGAACATGAAGCAGAATTTACAGAATTACAAAAGTAGTAAAAAAAATTAAATAAAAAAGGTTTTTTACTTCTAGCACCACAGGCAGGAGTGAGTTCGTCACAGCGCACAGGTCTGTAGCTGCTGCAGATTTAGGATTTTAATAAAACCTGTTTGTTTCCTCACGGTTTTAAAAAACGGCTGAAATGAGATGGAGAAAAGCTGCTGTTCTTACACGAGCCATGCTGAGTTCAAGGCTAGTGGGAAATTTGTCAGTAAAAAGTTACATTCATGTGCCGTTACTTTTATCAAAATCAATAAAAATTAAACCTCACTTGTACATCGGCTTAAAGTGATTATTATAGTGAGTGAGTGATGTTAGCGAAGCTGTTGATCTCAACCTCGTTGCTGAATTTTTAACAGATTTAGTTTTTGACATTTCACTACGAAGCCGTCCGTCCCATTGGCGGATAATAACTTTTATAAATCAGAACTGGAGCAGACTTTTTACCTGACACACTGTACGCGGTTGTTTTTGTAAGTCTAATTTAAAGTCTTTTTAATAAGAGCTGCAGTTTGCCTTAAAATCCGCCTTTTATTTACCATCGTAAGAGCAAACTGGGGAAGTAAAGGACTGCTGTCCCAAAGTTTAGGCCTCAATCTGTGATTTATAAAATGCATTTTTCACTCTGGCTCCTCCCTCTTTAAGATACATTTAAGCCAGCTTTCTGCTGATTGGATGGGTCCAGCAAACAGAAGGTTCAACGGCAGGTGGGTGGGGCTTAAACGTGAGAGCATAAAAAGCCGACATGAACAAACACTGACTTCATATCTGAATCTGTGGCCGCGTTTACAATGAGAATCCAGCACAGTACGTGTACATCTGAGAATAAATCATAATGCTTCAAACTTACAAGAAAGATATTTGAAATATTTTTAAATAGGCTTTTTGTTGTTGTGCAATAAATGATAACTGACTAAAAATGCATTTTTTGTAAAACGTGCACCCGAGACTATGGTGACAATTAATCTAAGGGCCAAAATTCTAATTCTGATACTTTCCATAAAATAAAGTGGCTGCATCAAAATCTGTTGAGGAAATGCACGAGGGAAACCTCATAGTTATAGGAGAGCACCTGAAGGAGGAGTATCATACAAAGAAATCAAACCCAGAGCTTCTTTCAGCGTATACGGTAAGACATTAGGCAACTCATCTGAAAATGAAAGGCTGAAGTTTAAAGGGTTAAACGGACACACTGACAGCTGCTGTGTTTACAGCTCGGGGACAAGAGTGGCGTCTCAACACACTGAGGACCGGGTCGCTGGCTTTTCATCTAACTTGGTTTTTCTAACCCGGTGCGCTCTGAATGTGTGACACATTTAAACGAATCATTTTCCAGCTTTGACGGGAATTCTAACGCTCCTCTGATCCTCAGTGTGTGTCGGCCTCACTCGGACCATCGATGACAAACATCTACAGAGTCTTCAAACACTCAGCTTCATACGCTTGTTATCGCGTCAGCCACACACGACTGGATTTGTAAACCTGCACAGGAGAATGAGCCTGGATTTTTTTTAAAAACGAAGCCGGCTTCGGTCGTCGTACAGGGCGTCAAACAACCGTCACACACAGCAGGAAACGTTTCTGCATCCTGCAGGAATCTAAACTGCATCCTGGTCCAGAAGAGTTGGATCAACAGAGGAGAGAAGCAGGCTAATAAATCATTATGCTCAGCTAAACAAAGCAAACGAAAGACGACATGCATGTTAAATATAGTCTCGTTAATAGGTTTTATATGCTCAACAGGTCAAACGAAAAAGATGGGAATATTTAAATTAATAAATACTTAAAGCACGTAATAATTATGTGGTGACTACATATTAGCAGTGCTATTTGGTAGAAATGGGAGTTTTAGTGTATTTCAGCTTGCTGACAGCTAAAATCTGACATGTATTAACAAGCTAGTACAGTTAAAGTATACATAAGTACTGGACTTATATTCATATTAGTATGCAGCAGGGTCTGATTGTGTGCAGCTAAGAGGATCTCCTGGTGGGTCACGTCGGCCTCGTGTGGTGTCACTGTGGAGGTCCACAGGCAGCTGAGGCTCAGTGTTTTTAAGAACATCCATTAGAGCTTTGTTCTCACCAATCATTGACAGCTGTTGGTTATTTTTAATGGCATCTCTAAATTTGATGGGATGAGCTCGTGCAGTCGTGCACTAGCATCAGATCTTAATTTTTGTAAAATACGATGAGGCACGACAGGACTTACTCGTAGAATCACTTTTCTAAGTGATGATATATCAAAGCTCAGATAGAAGTGGGCGTTAATAACAATTTGACTTTACTTTTGTTCATTTTTTTTCGAGCAGTCGCTGAACTGGAGACAATTTCAGGACCAAGATGAATAAGACGTGAACGGCACTCTGTGGATCAGCGTGTGAAGGATTTGACTTCATAGCTGTATAAAGTGTTGGACCTCCAACATGGTTACCACAGCGTGTCCCGCACCACCTGAAACACCTCCACACACTGAACAGTTGGTGTTTTTAGGCTGGTAAGTAACAGTTTGGGACTAAAAACCAGCTAAACTCCAAACCAGCGTGTTGTGCATCTCCTCGCTTTAGATCTGTAGAGATTTTTATACATGACACCGTTTATACTTGTAGGCAGAATACTGGGGGGGTCGACCGACCACCTTCCAAAGTGACTGTGTTCAACCGTCTTGCTCCTTCAGGGCAGTCATTTGGCATTTTTGGGAAGTCTGCTATCCTTAGACTTGTACACATTTCTGGCTTACACACAATTTAATATGTGCACACTGCACATTTCAGTATTTAGTAAAAAGTGCTAACTACGACTGAGTTATACAACACCGACCAGATTTTCTGCGTTTTAGATATTAAGCATTAAACATCAGGTCACAGGCCAATAATTTAAGCACTGACCGAGCAGTAACTTCACTAAAATAACATCCACAACTGTTTAAATCTGTGCCTCCTAAATCAGCACACTTCTATTACACCAGACCAATACACAAATCCACATGATTGTATTTACTACAGATACGCAGTAGCACAGGAGGAAACTGTGGTAGCCTCTGTTACTGCACTGCTATGGACTTGGAGTGTTGGCTGACGCACGCTGTGGCCATGCTGCGTTGCTAATGGTGTTTCTGTATTTTTAAATTGCTCAAATTTCACAAAGTGCTTTTGACAAGCACAGAATCGCAGTGAGAGGAAATAAACCTCCAACGGCGCCTTGCAGTATTGTTTTCAGCTTAGAAATTCAGAGCCGGGACGTTGTTTGGACAGCAGCCTTAACCTCGAGTTGTTCCATCCAGAGTTCCTGATCCTCTCCTGCTGCCGGGGTTTTCTTATTCGGTTTAAGAGGCAAACAGATCATTTATACTGAGGCAAACTGAATACATGCAGGTCAGTCTACTGTAACAACAGAAAATCCTTAGTTGCGAATGGTTACACGCCACTCTTCAATACGCTGCCCTACATATACAAATCCTCTTTCAGGTGGTGTCCAAGTACAACTCTGTCAAACACCATACTCATGTTTGTACATAAAGAAAATCCAGCATTAAATATGTAAGTCGTATTCAGCACACAGGCTTTTGGCACCTTTAGTGGAAATGGGAGACTACGAGGGTGTAAAACATACAAACACATCAAAATAGAAATATGTACATACAAATAATGATTTGATCTTTCGAAAATATCCCATCACTCCTCCCAGCTCAGCGTCGTCTGTCTGAGAAGTGTTCTCTTCTTCTACCTTCACTTCTCCCCAACATTAGGATTTCATTTCATTTAAGCCTCTTTTTTCCTGCTACAAGGTCGACCTTGTCCAGGCGTCTCTCGGTCGTCAGGATGATCCCGTCTCCCTCGCTCTGTTATCGAAGTTGCCCTGAGGAAACGATCTCGGATCAGAGTTCCTGGCTCGGCCTCGCGCAGGAACTAGAACTGATTTTTAAAGGGAGATGTGCTTAAAGAGTCCAGTCAACACTTTGTGGAAAGTTTACTTAAAATTTCTCCGTATGCACCTGTGCAGGAGAGGCTGGAGGCGATCCCAGCTGACAATGGACTCGGTCTTTGTTTGATTTAAATGCAAATATTATTACTCTTTGGCCAAACTGAGAAAATGCACATTTTTTTGTAATCGCTGCTAAAAGACAAGATTTCTAAAATGATCCTCAATCAGAGTCTCTGGGCAACTTCCTCCTGTTACTGGCATCCATTTGATGTCATAGCTATTTGCTTTTACTTAGCATTAACCATTTTGTGTCCCTTCCAACAGTATTTTCAGCCAGGGACACAAAATGGCTCATGTCGAACCAACCTTCGCAGTCTCAGTGAATCATTGGTGCTGATCGGTCGTTGGTTGTCGTCTTCTTGAGCTTGACGCCTCGTCGGATGGCCACCAGAAAGTCCTCCACCTCAGCGTATTCTGTTTCCTCCAAGAGCTCTGGGAGGGGTCGACGCTCCCACTCTGATGACCGACCGCTGGGCTGTGGAGGTGGGGTTGGAGGATCCGATCCCTTGCCCATGTGCTGGATCTCCCAAGGGGCAGACTTTGGTGACAATGACCCGTTGCTGCCTGGTGACAGAGGAGTGGTGGCCGGGCTTAGCGGGGTCCGCGGGGTGTTGCCGTCTTCTGACGCTGCTTTGCTGGGGAATCCAGGGTGTTCAGGCACAGTGGGAGTCTTAACTGGGATCATGGGGGGCTTGATGGGGATGGGGCCCAGGTTGAGGCCCCCGGATGGTCGTCGCAAGTTGGGTTTGGAGGACGGTGTCCGTCTGATAGTAGCAACCCCCGGGGTGATTACAGCAGAGGGGTTGGAAGGCAGGCCAGCAGTGGAAGCAGGGCGTTTAGACTGAAACATGCGGCGGTAGGACTGGGTGATGTCGCTGTTCCTCGGGATGGTGGAGGATTTATCAAAGTCTGAGGACTGCTGCTCCACCTCCTGATCTGCTCCCACAGAGTAGTAGTCACAGTCCGATACTACAGAGACCAGGAGGGGGGAGAATTTAGCACGATAACAGAATTTGTTTGAATAGAGCAGAGTCAGCTGATGATCTCAAGCATTTCCCAGATATTATATAATTAAAGTCTTTTTAATTCACGTTAACTTTAATTAGATTTTTTCTGTTTAGAGTTTAGATCAGAGCGAGATTTGAGACGTTCAGAAGAGACACAACAGAAGTTTGTTTTTCAGTGATTCAATTCAGGCTTGTTTCTGGGTCCAGTGAACATTTGAATAAAGTTAGTGCTGAGCTTAGCAGCAACGCATCCTTTGCTGGACTTAAACTGTGAAGTAGTTTGTATTTAATTAATCTGGTGGGAGTAAGTTAAGTACGTTTACCCTGTGAGGAGATGGTGTCCTCTGAGCAGCAGGGTGTGTTGGTCTGGCTGCTGTAGCCGCTGGAGCCTTGCAGGGAATCTCTGCTGGAGCCGTGGATGTCCAGCTGGAGGCCGCGGGCCAGAGCTCTGGCCAGCTCCTCACGGGTCTCCCTGTCCACCTGTCAGACAGACACACACACACACGGGGGGGAATATGTGGATTATTGGGATTCGTCTGTCCAATCAGAATGCTCCCAGTTAGTCATGTGCCTTTCTATTCAAGGACTTGTTTGGCATTTTGCTGGTCATTGTGTCCGACCTTGGGGGATGATGAGGTATTGTTTCCTTTGCCCCTGTTTGGCTCCTCTCCTGGTGTGGTGACATCAGCACCCTGGTGGCTGCTGGGATCTGTAGTCTCTCTCCTGTCCTTGCTCCTCTTCAGGGTATTAACCATGGGCTGATCGTACGGGCCTGGTTTGGCCCAATCCTACACAGGAAGATATCATCAATAACAGTAAAGTATTTTAATTGATGATAATTGTTGTTAATTTTGTCCATTAGTCAAACGTCCAAATAGAAGCATGAACAGAGGGATGTTTCTTTTATAGAAATGACAAAAATGCTCATGTTTGCTGCTGTGAGCAAATATTTGGAAACTGTTGCAAGAACACCAGAGGTCTATGCAAGCAAACCAAACCATTTTATAGGCCGCACCTCAAAACACGCCTTTAAAAGTAGAAGCTATTATATAAAGTGTAAAAATGTAAACCACAGCCTTGCAGTTGGATGCCTCCACCTCCCAGTGAAGTTGGAGTTTACAACTCAGCCACAACATTAAAACCACACACAGGTGAAATGAATCGACGCTGATCGTTTACTTGCGTCCTGGTGTCCATAAGGATTGGACTTTATCGCATACCGCCCACCTAAACAAAAACCTCCAATGACACTCCCCAACGGCAGCTGCCTCCCCCATCAGGAGAGGATACGCCACAAGAACAAGTCATTGAGGAAAAGTCCTTATATCCCAAATCCAATCAGAACACCAGAGCAGACACCCTGTCCCACAGCCCAGAGGGCCGAAAGGACCAGACTGTCACCATCCCAGAGCCAGTCACCCCACAGAACACCCGCTGTGGTCCTTATAGGTCAGAGTTGTTTTAACAGCATAACAGGGACCTACACAAAATTAGTCAGATGTTTAATGTTGTGGTTGATTCGTACATATGTACAGAAGACTTTAAATGCATTTAGCATGTGGACAACAATTCAATTTGACATCTAAATAAACCCGTCGACAGAATGTGAGGAAACAGCTATGGCATCATGTTAAAGGCGTCTCTGTCCGGTGGGTGTTGCAGGACCGGGCTGCATTCTCAGCTTTATGAATGAAGAATCCGATTTGCCCCAAACACAACATGAAAAATGTCAGAATTATTCCAGCTTGCGTTATCACAACAAGGCTACAGGCTATGAAACACTGGATTAGAAGTTATGTACATTTGAAAGTAGAAGTAGTTCTCGGCTGAACAGCTAGGCTAATGCTTTTAGGTAAAATGCTGCCACCTGGTGGTGAGAGGAGTTTTGTAAAAAAGTACCTGAAAAATGGACAACCTGAAAACTCACACCTGTCACCAGCACAGGTAAGCAAGGCTCTCTGTATAGTGATAATCAATGTTGTTTTAAAGTTTACGTTTCAATTTTTAATCCTAAAGATAAGCAGGAATAAAATTAACAAAAATATCAGGTGAAATTGATCCTAAATTGAATTGACTGGAAAATGAGAAACTTTTGAGAGAATGAAGTGACATCAAGAAAGAAGAGAAAATAACACACAGATCAACTCAAAGAAAAGAGGAGGACATCGGGGAGAATGAGGATCAAACCTTCCAGGACGGGACTCTGGATGATGGGATCACTCCAAGCCCCGAGGGGCTGAGAGGCAGGAACTCTCCTGATTGGCCGCAGCCTGAGCGAGACCACGGCCACGTGGGTGAAACGGACGAACAGGAGGGCGAGGAGATGGGAGAGGTGGTGGTAGTGGTGGTGGGAGAGGAGTAGGAGAAGTATGAAGGGTGGAGGTGGGGGTCCTGGGCTCCGTGATGGTCAAAACCATTTGTCAACTGAATGTGAATGAATGAAGAAGCAGAAACAATTCAAAAATTAAAGATGACGCTCACGACCGAGGAGTGAAAACATGAGACATGAGCGCAAAAACAGGTGCTTCATGCAGCAGAAAAAGCAAATGTTTGGGCGGCAGTGAGGTCCCAGCATTCATACACCTCCAAACATCAAACATCCTGATTTATAGCACTGACGATTTCATCTGGAGTTTCTTTGAAGCAGATGATTTTTTCACTTTTTAATCAGCATTTTATTTCACTGGCCTTTCCCAGTTTCTGAGATTTTGCAAAACAATTATGAAAAGAATTTGCAGTCTTACAAAAATTCGCTTCAACTAACGCCACCCGAAATACTCCCGACACATTTGTATTTCACATTTATGCATCTTTAATTGCAACAGAGTAATTTTATTCTACGCTAAAGATACCTTTACTTAAGCCAATAACATCTCAGCAAATATAATGAAAGTCGATCTTTGTTGTGTTTTGTGTTTTGGCAATTTATCCATGTGAAGCCCCGCCGGAGGAGGACGAGAGCCCCGCATAAGTTCTGATAACCAACTAAATTATGAACCATCACTGGGGACCATATGGTGATGTTCATTAGGTTTCACTGCACGTTTCCTGTTTTAGTGACGTAGCTGAGATGTGCATCAAAGTCACTCAGTCCCAACTGTGCATTCACGAGTAAATCAAACATGTCGACTGAATATTGATTTTAAAAAGTTCAGAATAACTGTTTGCCTGAGAGCCTCATCATATGAATATCTCATATTCTGAACAGTTACCTGGTAAAATGACCAGGTAACCTGACCTCTTCACCCTGACACACACTGACCATAAACAGACCAGACTGGGATTTCTTTGGCTTTTGTAAATGTTTCTGTTTGACAAACCTGAGGGGAAACCTGTTTGTTTTTGGTCCCTTTATTGCTCACAGAGCTCGGTTCCCTTTACATGGGTTAATTAGACTGAGTGAGTAAATCTTTTAATCCATTTCACGGTGGAGTGAACATCGTGTGCTGTTCTTAGTTTTCAGGATGTTGATGATTATCAAGCTGCCAATCAAACCTGGAATATTTCTTCCTCCTCTGCCAACACTAGATTATATTTTAATTGTTCATTTATGCATTGCCAGTGTTGAGCACTGAATGTAATTGGATTTGTTAAGCAGCTGGAAACGTTTCTGTGCAGTCGGCTTTTTGTGCTTCATGAAGGCTCCCGTTCATATCACTCAAAAATAAAAGCTGACACACAACTCACCTGGAAAAACAAGAACAACAAAACACTAACACAATTGTGTGTCTACGTGTTCACCTGCTGCTGCCCAGAGCGTGGCTCGGGGTGTGAGGGTGAGGAAGAAGAGGAGTACGAGGAAGGCCCCACAGTGACAGACTGAGAGGGTGAAGCAGAGACGCACGACCGCAGCAGCGCCATGCAGAGTGCACACAGAGACAGCAGTTTGCAGGAAGCACAGAGGGAAGCCAAGAAAACAGATCAAAACACAGACACGAGAGAAAAGCAGAGGAAGCAGCAACAGGTTAGAACAGCAGGACAACCAGTGCTGGGGAGCATTAATGCACATGCAGTTTTCACATTTCTGCACGTCTAAAATGATTAAGACGGGTTTAAGTGCAGTGAAATTGGGTTAGGATGTGTTAGGAGGAGTGAATCTATGAAACATTTAATGAGAAGCTGTAATCTCCCAAACACTGATCCCAGGTCTTTGCTGAAAAAACATCAGCACCAGCAGACCGTGGACACCTTCATGCTCCGTCTTTGGATATTTAATTAATGTAAATTATTTTGGCACAGCACTAAAACTAAAATGATCGTATTTAAAATAGCTTAACTCGAGTAGTGCCTATGATGTGTTTTATATATAAATGTATATAAATGTATGTATATGCAGCTGGGTAGCGTAGTGGTAAGCAGGTGCTGCAGTTCCAATTCCCGCCTGAGGCGTCTCACAGCTAGAGCCAGGGGCGATATCATCACCTCCACCTGATTGGGCACCAGGATCGTTGAGTGCGAGAGGAACTGATCTTTATTTAAAATAAAGCCTGTGTAGGCTCGACAACGTAAACACTCACTAGTGTCTGTACCCTGAAGGTGCTTAACAAGACTGGATGCAGATGACGTCTGAATGAATGTCGTTGCTGTATATCCTGGTCTCGTTCAGGATTTTGTCATTTCTCCAACATGACGACGAGATTGACTTTTTTGTTTTTAAACAAGTAACAGCAAAAGATGATGATGTTGTTGTTATGAGTGTTAGACATGGCTCTAAATTTGACGATACCTCGAGTTTATAGATAGAAACCATCTTTCTGAGGTTACTGAGACACGCACACGCGACATGTGGCTTCCAGCTAACAAACACACCGCATCGTAGGAACTGGGGAACATCCGCAGACATCATAAACAGAACTCACTGGTTTATTTTTGGCGTCTGTTCTCAGTGAGTTGATGACTAAAAGCACTGAGCCGCGACTTTTGTTACCTGCAGGGTCTCTGGGGGCATCGGTGAAGGGGATTTGGACTGGTAGGCATCCTGAGAGATGAAGCCAGAGTCGTGTGAGGAGATTGAAGAGAGGCGGGCAGGTGTCTGCTGGGGCAGCACTGAGGAGGAAGAGGAGGAGGAGGCGCGATAACGGAAGTGGGAGGTCGGGGAGTGACAGTGTGAGCCGCTGGAGCGAGAGTCGCTGCTGTTCACGCTGTTCAGGCTGCTGTGGGCCGGACGGGAGGAGAGAAATGTCAGAAAGAAGGAAACCTGAGAAGCTCTGAAGTCATTCACTGATTTTCTGTTTTAAAATCTCAGCTCATCACATGAAAGAATAAACAATCAACCTGAAAAATGAGTCAGGCAGATGAAATATTCTGAGTAATAAGACATGACGGTAAAATAACATTTACTGGAGTTATTTCTCTTTGATAAATCAAAACTTTCAAAAGAATCGATGATTTTTAAAAAGCTGTAGTTCCACTTGTTAACCACAGAGAGGCAGCAGAGGACAGGCTCTCAGCAGACCACCTTATCTCCCTCTATTGTTGAGATAATAAGCAGCTGGCAGCAGCCACATAACTAACCTGCACATGCTGGACTTCCTGGATACGGTGGTGCTTGGTGACGAGGGAGGAGTTTGGTAGGACCAGGTGCACTCGGAGCCCTTCAGGTCTACGATTACCTGGAGAGAAAAAATGCTGTGAATCGTCTATGATGTTTCTGTGAAGGTGTCTGTGTGCGGTCAGGTCAAAGGAAGGCGTGTTTACTCCGTGTCGAGGTTACCACTGATCAGCGGGTAGAGTGAGTGGAGGTGTACTGAACGTGCTTAAATCAAAAACCCTTCTGAAATATTTTAATCGGTACAGAACGGGGCTGAAACTGAGACATTTATAACAGAGGACAAATCGTTCGATTGTGTGGTCACACGACCCCTCACAGCACCACGAGTACCTGCTCACTGGAAGCGGGCAGCTTGTGTGGGTCCATGGTTAGCATCTTCAGGTCGTCTGTCAGCGTCTGGAGGTGTGTAATCTCCCCCAGCATGGACATCTCCTCCTCCTGAGACACACAAACATTCATCAGCTGCAAATTCTACACAAAAAACAGCTTTGAGACTGACGTCATCACAGCAGCTGCTCCACAGGAGGTTTAAAGAGAGAGCTGCAGCACAGAAGGTGTAGGAGTTGATGTTCGTCAGAGATTTACATTTGGATTGGAGCTGCTGACGTCCAGCAAAGCATAAACATACAAATCTAAAGGGGCCAGGTGTTTTTTCAAAGGCTTGCAGAGTTTCTGCGTAACTGTAGTTAGAGCTCCAAACATCTTTCTGTGTTGTGCATAAACAGTTTGAATGCATCACTGACCACGACAGGCCGCAGCATGGACACGAAGCAGCAAAAGCGACTCCTCTCCTCCACCAGCGCTCTCCTCACCGCCTGCTTCTCCGTCTCCTCCAGCAGCAGGTACTTATCGCTGACGTCCTGCATGGCGCTGTCCAGCTGGGGCTGCAGGTCTCCACGGCCTGAACACAGACACGTGCACATACCTCGTTGCATCCAATTTCAACTAGAAACGGCAAGCAGACCCTCACAGCCACTTGCCAACCAGTTGGAGAATAGTCATTTTTCCCTAGTGACCAGTTGCCAACTGGTCTCTAGACCTGTGAATGGGTGCAAAAGCTACAGAACAAAAAGTTTGAATTGGGCCTGCTTTGTTCCAAAGTTTGTGCCCGTCACTAAAACACATTCTCGTTTACAGTGGGGGATGGGCACAAGGTAAAACCTCCTGTGGAAATCAAGCAATGAAGAAAAGAAGAAATGGCAAACATTCTGGAAAAATGCTGCCCTCTGCTGATGAAAGTTTTAGTCACAGGAAGTATCTTTAAGGCATAAAATAGCATAAAAAGAAAGGAAATGGGGACTATTTGCAATAAAAAGTAACTAAAAATCAAAACGATACACAAAAAAAGAAAAAGTTGTCTTTCAAAATGCTGATTTAAACTTTTAAACTTAAGCAGCCACCCAAAGGTAACACCAGAGTTTTCTAAATCTCTCTCTCTTGCAGACCTACACATGAGCAGACGAACCGTTTCTGTGGCGTTAACAAAATGCAATCACTTCAGTCCATCTTGGCTCAGATCAACAAACTCACACAGAACTAAAGAGGAGGCAGCCTCACAGCTGCAGCCAGATTATCAGCCATCTGTGAAATCCAATTCTCACTGAACAGAACTTTAGCTACAAAGAGCAGAGCCTGCTCTGAAACTACGATCACTCAGTGGCTTCAAAAACAACAGCCAGAGCCTCCCACAAACCATTAACCACATTAAAGTCTCAAACAAGTATTTTCTCTCTGGCGATCAGTCAGCTGGAAACAAACAACCACTGGAATCCCACTGAAAACACACCACACATTAATAATGTTTGCCATTTTGAAATTACATTGCTGCTTTTATGAAATGCTTCTGGTTTATTTTTTAACTCTGTCCAAATGTCTCAACTCTCCCTTACTCCAAGTCTTTACTAAAGCGGTTTCATACACAGAAGATTAAACTGATTTCACGTGTCGACACGGCCGTTGCGACATGAGTCGGATGAGCTGGAGTCTGTATCTGCTTTAATATCATCTCCCACAGCGACTGTAATTGGATTAGTTAATTTACTTTGTGACACAGAGCAAAGCTGAACTATTTTTACATTGTTTCATTGACTGATCGAGAGCAGCTATTGTGGGCGTGGGTTTCCCGGAGCGCTGAATATGTCGAGTGTTTGGGGATCTTAGCACGCTACACGTTAATTCTGGTAAATTCATATGTTCCAATTGGAAATGTGGAAATGTTGAACAGGAGTATAAGGCGACTTAGATCATCCCTGGTGAGTCATTACTACATCCAGGCATATTTTACTCTTTTCTTCCATTTGCCCGCGTACTACGAAACAGGATTCAGGGCTTAGCGAAGGAACTTCAGGTTTCACCCTGTGATTTCCATCTTATGAAGAAAGTTCACAACTTATGCTGCAGACCTGACATCTCCAGATCTACTGACCAAACGATTCTCTGAAAAACAGCATCAGGTCTTTACTTTCACTGATAGGAATAATATAAAAAAAGAATTGCAGAGTCTTAAATGCAGCTTTATTCCTTCTTTATTTGGCTGTTGGCTGAAAGCAAGTTTAGAACCATTTTTGACAATGAGTATAGCGGCACAGATCGGAAACAGGCCACCCGGGTCTCCCAAGGCTGTTAAGTTAATATTTCTGCACTGCTGTATTATAACATGTAATGAATGCATTGTGCAATACTGAATTCTTTCCTTGCTGGTTTCATCAGCCCACAGCTACACTTTAGAGGATGTTAGCTTGTCAACAGCTGCTTTGGTGTCTTCTGTTAGTGATGGATCTGAAATGTTTCAGCTTCTTGCTGAAATATGCAAGAAGTTACCCAAGCACACTGCTTTAAGACGACTTCCTGTCATGTCCAGAGAACAGCTTTTAAACCGTTATGTGGCATGACATGAATCATTACCATGGATGCAAGTTTATTTTGATTCCTCAGACTGTCCTGCTTCCTTAAACACTCGCTGGAGAACAAAATCTGAGTTAATCCATCAACAACGAGCCCCCCTCCAAAATGCACCCTGCACCCCCAATTCGTTAAAACCACGGACAGTGCCATGAACCGCTTGCAGCCGAGGCCCACAGCGGCAGAGAGCAGGCAGACCAACGTGATTACTCAGTCTTTTCTTGACTTTGCTGTCGTGAAAATACGACATGACAGAGCAGACTGAAAAATGCCTGCAGCAATTTTCTAAACCTCAAAGCGACGTTCACTTTTGTGTGACGAGATCACATTTAATCAGCTAATTTCACTCCTAACAACTGCTGTCTTTCCCCCTTCACATGGTGCTCTGGGGTTCAGTTTCTCCTCTTTAAAGCGATCGTTTGGTAATCTCATCTTCTGGATTTGAGGACAGACATAAACATGCAATTAAAGTTCCTCATTCCTCCAGCGAGATCCGAGGCCGGCTTCTGTGGTCGGGCTGATAGACGGGAGAACGCGCGCCGTCTCTCTGTAAGAATTTTCCAAGCACAGGCTTCAGTGATAAAGAGGAAAGAAATGGTGAAGACTTGCTTCCAGAAATGTGAACGTAATTCCAGGTTTCCCACAGAATTCAAACAAACAGGATGTCTTGGGCAGAACATCGCTCTTATGTTCTTGTTTATCTCACGATCGCCTCCTTTCTTGTCTAAATCGAGACATTTCTGAATGCTTTCTTTTCTCCTCATCCTCGTGTCCTCTGTTGACCTTTGCGTAGCCTTTTCGATACAGGTCAAACTGAGAAGACCCACAATCCCAAGACAACAGATTTTTTTGCAAGCTTGTGCACTCCAAAGGATTGGACAACATGGAGTTCCACTGTAATGCAATCAGGGGTCTGCGTGAGAACGTTGCATTTACCAAACCCAATAACCTAACCGGTTCATGGTCTTTCTGTCCTCTCGCCCCTCGTTAGTCGCTGCAGATGGCTGTCCCTCCCTGAACCTGGATCTGAGGTCTCTTCCTGTTAAAAGGGAGTTTTTGCCGTCGCCAAGACATCGCCTGGTCATTGGGGTTCTCTCTCTCGCTCTCTCATTGTAGGATCTTACTTTCTCTGATTTTTAAGATTCCTTCGGATAATTGTTATTGGGAACTGATGCAATAATAATTCAAATCTTAATGCGATGAGTTTAAATACCTGGAGTCAAACACCCAAAGCAAAAGGTCAATGCACAAGAGTGCAGGCAAGGTGGAGTGGGTGGAGACAATTGCCCAGGTGTCTCTTGGAAATTAGATTTAAATCTCATCACAAATCACTTTTCACCTGGATAAATAAAGAATGAGAGTAAAAGGGAAGATTTACAAGATGCTAGTGACATAAAAAAAAAATGACAGGAGACAGAGCTGAAGATGTCAAGACTTTCATTGGCATTGAGCAGCTGAGGTTGAGCAGCTGAGGTTGAGCAGCTGAGGTTGAGCAGCTGAGGTTGAGCAGCTGAGGTTGAGCAGCTGAGGTTGAGCAGCTGAGGTTGAGCAGCTCAGGTTGAGCAGCTCAGGTTGAGCAGCTCAGGTTGAGCAGCTCAGGTTGAGCAGCTCAGGTTGAGCAGCTCAGGTTGAGCAGTTTGGAGAGGCAAGGCTGAGGTGGTTTGGACATGTGCAGAGAAGAGATAGTGGACATACTGGGCAAAGGATGTTGAAGATGGAAGCAAGAAAATAGGAAGACCTCAGAGGAGGTTCATGGATGTAGTGAAGGGGGCCATGCAGAGGGTTAGTGTAGGGGGAGATGGAGGAATATGATCTGCGGTGGTGACCCTTCAACGAAGTAGCTCTGTTGTACCCTGGATACCTGCAGTTGCTAGGTTTTTAATTTTTTTTAGACACACACACACACACACGCACACACGCACACACGCGCACACACACACACACACACACGAATTTAAAAGGGACATGAAGACAAACTGGTGCAAACTGTCAGCTACAAAACTGGATTTTCAAACTCCAGCAACTCCAGGATCCCATGTGATACTTTAATAAAATCTATAGAGGACCATAACACCCAATTAAATTCAGCACTACATGGTGGTGTCTATGATGGGGTACTGGAGCTCACCTCACACATGACCCACCGCTTTAGACCAGCTGTGCTGTTTCCAGCTTCGCATCAACAGTTTCTTTCACCTTTTCCTGTTTAAACTCGATCCATTCCGAGTTCCCGTGCTCAAAGCCAGCGCTATAAATAAAAAAACCTTTCTTAAGGTGGTTTCCCTCAATCTGTTTCTCATAATATTAACTCTTACTCAGAGCTTTCCCTTCATTTTCCAGTCTCCTGTCATTACATTCATTTCATTCCAGAACAAGTTCCTCCACCTCTTTTTTTCCTTCCTTGAAACTTCTCCATGTCCTCTTCCCTCGTGACATCCACTCCAGTGCAGAGGGAGTTTCCTCTCGTGCAGTAATAACAGGCTGGGAGGACCTGAGGACTGAAGCAGTCTGACCACATCTGAGGTTCCTCTGGGGTCAACCCTGGTTCCTGTTTGTTTTGTCTTAGAAGCTCAATTCAAAGCTGGAAACCATCGAGTCCTTTGTTGGCAGCAACAACGAGCTTTTGTTTCCAGTCATAATAAGGCTCGTTTCAGTGCGATTGCTCAGACTGGGACTACTTGTTCTAAAAGCAGAGCCTGTTTTGGTGTTTACTCGTAGTCCTTTGGAGTTCAGCGGGCAGAGTGAATAAGTAATATTGCCACATCACATTCCTGTAATTCCACTGGACTTCATGCTATCCTAAAAGTTATTTTAGAACAATTTAGTCAAGTCAGCGGTCATGCTATCAGCTCTAAGAGCCTGCAAATAAGAGGTTTACTCTGCATTAACAGCCTGACCCTGGAGGAGCATCATCTACAACTGTGAATGATCAAAAAAATATCCTGATATCACTGCATTTAGACAGACCACTGATATCGGCTGTGTTATAGCTCTCATCATCTACAATGATCCTCATCGATCTCTGCTCTCTCAAGTTTGAGGTCCTCGGTTGAAATCGCAGTCTGCACAGGTAACGGGGCTTTACACAGGATTCAGCACGTACTGTGTTCACTGCTGTTAGATGGAGCTGAAGAGGGCGTTGCTAACGTGGACCTCCAGGTTGTTATCTGAAAATAGCATCAGCGTGGAAGCATGCCCGAGAAGACGATGCTGAACAGGAGCTCAGTTCATTTTACATTAATAAGGGCTTTTGGTCTTTATGGAGCTGTTTTCCAAACTTTTTTATCACACCTCAAACATGCTGGATAACCTCAGCAGCTCTGTCAGCGTCCGTTCATCCGCCCGCCCTCTTCTACTTATCTGAAGTCAAGTCATGGTGGCGGCACCCTAAGCAAACTTTCCAGTTCCCTCTGGGGGTTCCCAAAGCATTCCTATTCCAGATGAGATAAGTAATCTATTCAGCCCGAGCCACCTTAACTGGCTCATTTTGACGCTGCAGGAGCGACAGCTCTACTCCTCCGGATTCCTCCAGATGTTCGAGCTCATCGCCCTATCGCTAAGCCCGAGCCCACCCACCCTTCAGATGAAACTAAGGACGTTTTCACACCTGTAGTCTGTTTACTCTGAATCCGAATCAGCTGAGGCGTCACAACATGACTCTTTCAGTCATTACCCAGACTTTGTGACCAGAGGTGAAGAGTCGATGGACGGGTAAATCGAACGGTGCACCTTTGAGCAACGCTCTCTTCACAGTGGCTTCACCAATCCAATGCTCTCCGACTTCCCATCGCATGTGAAGAAGATTCCAAGATGTTTGAACTCCCTTGCTTGACTGAGCCTCTCCACAACCCCAAACATTTGGTGCTGACCCTGTCGTGTGCTGCGTTCGGGGCAGAGTCACACTGGTTGACACGGTTTTACTGAACGAGCCATGAAAATATTTCCTTTGAAGACTCTCGTTCGGTGTGCCTCTAGTCTTTGTTGTGTGAGTCACACAAACATCTAAACAGCGTGGGAACATGTTTCAGCCGACCGAAGTGGGCTGGATGTCAAACTCAAACTGAGCTGGAGGTGTCAGAGTGCGACTGTCTCATATTCACCATGTTGATATATTCACAACCCTCTAAGCTCGCCCTCTGGATTATCGTGGAAAACTTTAACACACTTTTTTTATTATTGAAATATTAAAACCACTCAGACTAAACATTGGAGAAGTAAAAATGGAAAACACCAGTCGCCTGAGCCTTTTGCATTATTGAGAAGAGCTAGAAAGGTGGATAGATGGGTGTGTACTTACCGAAAACATCAGCTGGACGAGCAAAGCATGATGGAACGCCAAAGGAAACACATAAAAACATGATATTAGCTTTTACATCTGCACATTACTCCATGCCAGTTACACCCTATAAAACAACTACTGATTGAATTTTCCCACAAATACCACAAAGTGTTTAATTTAAACAGTTTCAAGTTGCAGCAAAATATCGCAGCCCCTCAGCCGCAGTTTTTTATGCAGTGAACCCGCACGTGACAAACCTTTCTTAGCTTTCTTCTGCAGCTTTAGAGTGTCTGATGATCTCTTCTTGATCTCCTGACGGGCTTTCTTGTACTCTGGAAAACGCACACAAACACGATGTGAATGCAAACAGCGTGTGAAGTTCGAGATGCATGTAGAGGTTTTGTGTGTGTGTGTGTGTGTGTGTGTGTGTGTGTGTGTGTGTGTGTGTGTGTGTGTGTATGAAACCTTTGGCATGGTCTTTATCCAGAGTGTTGGCGACTCTTTTCCACTCCTCCATCTGCTCCTGTAGAGGGTTGATCAGACAGTCCAGAAACACCCTGAAAGCGCACACACACACACACACACACACACACACGCACACACACGCACGCACGCACACCACGTATGGTTAAAGCTGTTCCTTTTGCAGACAAAAACAAAGACCACACAACACAAATCAAATTAAAGATGAAGGCCGGATTAAATCTGTGGGGAATTAATGCAGATGTGTGTGTGAGCATCATTAGCAGAGTGATTAGCTGCAGCGGTTTCTTCCTAACAGAACTGACGCACGTGCAGAAATCAAAGGACTTGATATTTTTAAGCATACAGATCAGATTTAAGTGTGCATACAGCATCCGGAGCATGCATGAGCCTCTCTGCCTCCGTTGGGGCTCGATCACCAGTAAACTGGTGCATGGAGATCATTCCCAGGATGCCACTTCTAAGAAGTTTGGATTTACCAATAATTTGACACAAGCATATGTATTCAGTTTCTTGAATGAAGAAGAGAGCTGATTCATAAAGCAGTTTGTAAGAGGATTTATTCTGAGGTCATTTTTCCATTTAGTAATTAAAGGCTGACAGAGATCAGGAGCCATTAGATATTATGAGGTCATATTTACTGGGATTTACATGAGCTGCTGTGCATATGTCCAGCATTAAAAGGAAGTCCAACACTAGTTTCACTCCTGTGTTTCCCCCTGGTCATCTGCACACCAGCAGCAGCCTCACAGTCTCAGAAATGTTGGTCTAGAATAAATACTGTGATTACAAGTAGAGAATAAAAACCCTGAAAAGGGACCAATTAGCTTTCATTCCCAAGTTAAATGACTGCTGAGGTCACGGCCACTTATTTAAGATTTATCAGCCTGATACTGTATAATGTGACAATAAGAGGATTTTACATCCCATGTGGCCAGGAAACACCTCCCCACCGAGGAGCTGGAGGGGGGAGGTGGTTGGGTGAAGGGCATCTGGGACGCTTTGCTTAGCCATATAGAAAATAACTGGATGTCTGCCGTGACACATCATACTTTATTAACAGAGGTGAACCCTGCATCCTCCTGCTACTGCATCCCTATTCACAGAGTCAGCTGGAGGTCCCATCTTACAGCTTCAATCTCTCAGACTCTCTGCTTTCATACGGGTGGAGTTAATGGACTCATGCAGCGAAGGCAAAATGAAAAAGAGGAAGGCTGATTTTGATCAGGAGGAGCGGTAGGTGAGGTTTACAGGCTCTTGGAAAGAAAGCTGGTGAAAGGATGTGGTCACAGCAGGACTGACTGGGGCTGATACTGCACTCTGCGGTCACGTGGATGTAAAACATGAGTGATGAAGAGTGTAAGGAGGATTCGTAAAAGCAGAAAGAAGGCGGCACAAAGATGGACGAGGGTGTATTTATAAAAACGATCTGGATAATTATTTTCAGCCACGATGATGTCATTAGATTGAGTCAGAGACTGATGGACCAGGGTGGAGGATCTAAAAGCTGAGGCAGGCAGAGGAGCAGGTTGCCATGGAGAACTGGGAGGACAGGCCACTCCTGTTCATCTGACACACACACACACACACACACACACACACACACAGATCTACCCACATGGAGAACTGGCGTAGTTTGGCCTCGATGCTGCGATGCCTCATGCACATCCTGGTGAGGGCTGAACCGATGTCCCGGGTCCCCCCTGAAAGCAAACACACAGACACAGAGGACAATCTGTCAGTCAGACCGGGAGCTGCTGATCACTGGAAGACTTTCAACATGATGCAAACTCACAACTAAAATCACCCTTGCAGCTCTTGCACTTGTAAATCCTGTGTTTCTGCCTATCATCTATTTATTTAACCTCTAAATAAGCTGAAACAGGTTTTCCTCCAAATAAGAAACCTTATCAATACCATAGACGCTCACATGCAACTTTATTAGCTACAAACCTTCACCTGCTCGAAAAGTCAGTTACAGCGACTCGATGAATTTAGGCGTAATCAAGACAAGCGGCTAAAGTTCAGACTGAGCATCAGGATGTTAAAGGAAGGTGATTTAAAGGACTGAACGTTGTTGTTGGTGTCGGACAGGTTGGTCTGAGTATTTCAGAAACTGATGACTTTCCCCTCATAACCATCTCTAAGGTTTAAAAAACAGAAAATATCCTGTGAGCTGCAGTTTCCCTGGGAGCAAATGCCTTGTTGATACCAGAAGACAGAAGTGAAAGGTCAGGCTGCTTTGAGTTGATAAGAAGCAACAGCGAGTCAAATACTGACCAGTGAAAACTGAGGTGTGCAGAAGAGCGTCTGAAAACGCACAACACGTCGCACCTTAGAGCAGATTGGCTATAGCACAGAGACCACACCGAGCGCCGCTGCTCTCAGCTAACAACAGGAAACTGAGGATACAATTCTCACAGACTCAACAGACGACTGAAGAATCACCGCCTGGTCTCATGAGTCTTGATCCTGCTGCAACATTTTGATGGTAGATCCATCATGCCTTATATTGGTGGTTCTGGCTCCTGCTGGTGGTGTAATGGGAACACTTCTTTTGGCACAGGTTCTGCCCTTCAGTACCAACACAGTATCATTTAAATGCCCCAGGCTGTCTGAGTACTCAGTGTACCCAGTGCCTGCTTCCAGCAGGATAACGCGCTGTGTCACAGAGTTCATCTCATAATGGTTTCTTGAACATGACCTTCACAGTCACCAGATCTCAATCCAATCGAGCACCTTCGAGGCAGGAACAGGAGATTCACATGATGGATGCAACTGACAGATCTGCAGCAGCTGTGTGATTCTGTCACGTGGTTTTAGACCAGAATATCTTACATGTTTCCAGCACCTTGTTGAATCTATGCCATGATAAATTCAGGTCATTCTGATGGCAAACACAGGTCCAATCCAGCACCAGACCCTAAGGAAGCGCCCAGTGAGTGTAGCAAGTAATAAACCCTTAATAGATTATAGTAAAAACATGCAACCACCATCCTCAACATAACAGGTAAACACAAACCACAAGCTTTGACAAGCTATAACTTATCCTGTTTATAATCAGCAGGGATGCTAAATGTGTACAAACAGAATTATTCCCCTTACCTAAGATAGCAAAAACAACTGATGAATACAACACTTGTATGTCATCAGCTTGTGTTATATGGAGCAAATCTCTAGGAGAATGTAAACACACACACACACACACACACACCCTGTCGAAATGACTGAACTGCAGAGCACTCGTACTTCTGTGTGGGTCTGACATTAGATCTGCACAGCATCAAAAATACATCCAAATGTGAGCCCTTCCACTCATGTACAGCTGTGATTTTCTTATCATTGGAGTCTGCTAGAGTAGCTTTACATGATCCAGAATTCAGAATAATCCTTTTTTAATCTCACACTGGACCTTGTTGCGGTTCATCCTCTGATCAGTGCAAATCCACAGAAAGGCTAACGTCCTCAAAGTCACCCAGGTGAACATTCATGAGAGTCTAGAGACGTGCCGAGCTGCAATCTACACCACCATCACAGCCACGCTGCATTAGCTGCTACAAGCTAAGGGAAACTCCTGCATTTGACTCTTTGCACTTCTACAAATGATGACTTGGATAACATTTAGTGTGAGCACACAACAACACCGGATTTCTTCATCAGCTTACTTGGTAGAAAGCTTGTTCCAAGTATCTTGGACTGGCTGACATTCTTCTGTGAATTTAAGCCGAGTCAGAGTTCGCTGTTACTTTGTGTAATCTGAGATGTTATTAAATGACAAAGAAGGTAGCTGCACCTTCTCCCACACAGCCACTCGATAAACAAACCCATGAAAACATGAGCTAAATAAATATCCTTCT